CTTTCACAATATAAATTGGTTCTCTGAGATTTTTATAAGTGCTAAATTCACTACTTTTTTTTATTCGTAACAGCTTTTAATGATTTATTAAATAATTATAGTTGATATTTTTATGGCAATCTCTTTTTAAAAAAAATTCCATTTTTAAAGCAGTTGTAATATAATATTATTAAATTACATTAACTGATATAATCAAATGAAACTTTCCTAGTAAAAATATTAATAATTGTTGAGTAATTAATTTTTTTTAAAGTGAGAAATGCACTTGTTACTCATTACTATATTTTATAAACTGTAAACTGAATTAAAATTTTGGGATTTATTAAAGACTATCAAATTGGTATTTATCAACACTATCGACATTTTCTGAAGTGTAATGTGGCATAGATAATGCATGTTACATGAACATGTCAGATTTAAGTTCATCGTGTGAGGATTAATTGGAAATTCTGCTCGTGGCATGGATCAGAAGATTACTCGAAGATAAATGATAGCAATACGTAAACGACACGATAATCATTATAGTTTTTAATATAGTGTATCCAACAACTATTACTCAATATTATTATTATAAACTCATTTTTTGTTATTTTTTATAAATCTTTTAATTAATTTTATTGGTTTTATCATGAGTTTGTATTTATTTTTTTTTGTTACAAAACAATGTCGATGAAAACATCTGTACTCGAGTTTTCGAATATTAATTTTAGATTTTTATTTTTAGATATAGATTTTTTCATTGTATTCAGCATCGATATAGTTCACTATTCTATAGAGAACCGAAGTGCAATATACCCTTTTGTACTTAGAGCGACATTGTAACATCGTTCCATTCGACACCTATATAGTGTCAGCTAGAACATAGGACCTTGTTGATCTTCCATCACACCATATAATTTTGGAATTACATACTCGGGTAATATAGTTATCGCTATTATTTTATTTTTCTTTTACTGCTAAATCTATAATCAAATTTGTCTTTTTAGTAATGTTAACATATTTGAATTAGAACTGTTAAAAAGTGTTTGTGAACAAATATCTCCTGCGAAATTTTCCGCACTAAAGTGATAAAATTTTTCAACATTTATTAATTTTTTTAAATTTGAATTTCAGAGTTCTGAAAAATCATATCATATTTTAACCTCCTGGTATCCGTTTTTTTCCAGTGAATTATAGATCGAGGTCAAATTGATAATCAAACTTTTTTAGTCATCATGATTCAACAAAAATGGAAAGAATAAAACTGTAGATGAAATTCTTTTTAGGTTTTTTTGCTATCTCATAGCCAAATTTGAATGTTTTGTTCGTAAAAATTTTGTTAAAGGCAAAAAAATATCTTGTTTCAGCTCATCTGTGAGAAATGAAAACTGACTTACGTCGGACTAGTTGGAATAATCATAAAAAGAAAAGAATCAATGGGTATGACTGTCGATTTTTATTTGCAAGACATGCAAAATCCGTTTGCCATTGTGAGAAAGATCTTTTTGCCATGTATGTATATAAAATATACATATCTATATATTGAGGCTTTCAATATTCCACTTTTGTTGAACAGAAAGATTTGACGTAGACATTGCTATGTAAGATATTGATTCTTATCGCCCATTCGATTCTTTTTATATTATAGCGATATTACTAGAACAGCGGTTGCATTATTCATAGCTATTCGAAGAGCAATGAAACGATGAAAGTCAACATCAATAGACGAAAGATCCTGTCGTCCGAATATTCAAATCGGTTGAATAGACTCGCGAAATTCTTGACTTCGTATTTCATATATGATATAACATACGTATTACCAATTTCACGCTCTATCCATTTTCTTTACAATCATACATTCGAAATATTATTTAAATTCACGCCAATGCATTCTTTATTATTTGTGTGACTTTTTTTAACTTCATTTAATTGGATTATTTGAAAAAACTGACCAAGTTTTCTTACTCTTATGGAAAAATATTCGGCAAGACAATATGAAACAGAAGCGTGGGATGAATAGATAACGGCTTTTGTAACTTGACTTCACGCGTGCGAAGTACATTGCTACAGAAGTAAGGAGTATGAGGGTCCCTAGGTATTGAAACTTTCCGATGCGAATATCCTTAGCTACGTGTACGCGAATTCTCTCGCATTCGGGTGCGAATGCGCTCGCATTACTGTTGTTCCGGGCTAGATATCAACATCCTGTACACCATAGTACACGTGAATACGTGCTGAGACTAAAGCCAAGCTTTTTGCGAGTTAAAAAAAAAATATATTTTATATGTAAGCTGAGTAGTCTGATATTTTCTACTTTTCTATTCGTCACTATACTTGAAGATATCAAGTGTACAAATATTTTATTATTATTATTGTTATTTTTTTTTTTTAATTTTACAAATTTCTCGGAGATGTTGAATTTTTTATCTCTTGTGAGAATTGAAACAAAATGAGAATTTGAGCCAGAGTTGGAAAATATTTTACTACTGGATTCTGCTAGTAATCCGATTCTGTTAAGGATAAAAAGTTTTTTGGAGTTTTGACGGTAGTTTGACAAAAATGTAATCTAAAACAAAGAAGATTGGATAACTAAAGAATGAAGTATAATGCATTCTAAAATAAGAATCTCTTTTCTAAACCATTGCTTTAAATAGAACATGTTACTTAGGTTGTTATTTGTAAACAAAAAGTTGATAGCTCATTCGCTCATGTAATTGATCTATTAAAACTCCATTTCTGCGTGAATTCTCGATAAATTTATTCTAGCATCATCATGAATTTGTTTTTATATGCATTCATTTTCACTGTTCATTTTTTACTCATTATTTCTTTTTTCGCAGACGTGGTGGACCATCACCAAATACAATTTTCTCAAGTATTGAAGGATAATCGGAAAATTGATCAGTTGCTGAGAGTGTAGAAGAACAAACAACCGCAAGTCTGAGGACTTTTCTTTTGACATAAATGGAAAATTTCAAGGGTATTCAATGAGACGACTGGTGGATATAGAGAAGGTAAGTCGAAATGGAAATTACAGAAAATAGAAAGAAGTATTCAAAAGAATTTTGACTCTTTTCTACAAATTCAATCCGACAGTATTTGCACGCGTATTTGATTTTTACGAAGACTCTTTCATTTCGATAGTGGACAAATATCACACGTTGGGAACCGTTTTGTGTCATTTAGCGGCACAAAGTCGATAAAAAAAATATCGATAAGGTAACTATGGAAAATAAAAGTAGAAACGCACAGTGCAATAACTATCACTAGTAATATAACCTGACTATTCATTCGTGTCAAAGCATGACTGAAAATTGAAATAGGCGTGCATCGTTGATTCGTGCGATATTTCAATTAAATTCATATTCGACGTATTATTGAACCGTCGAAGTTTCAAATGTGTCATGTCATTAGATGTCAGTTAGATTGTCAACCAAATGCTTGGAACAGTATCTCATTTCCATTTTATTTAAATTATTTTCATTATTATCCATCGATTATACGCTCTATAAATTGCAATCGTAGGAATCGACTGCTTTCACTTTAACAATTATTGAGAATTATTATTATTATTATTTTTTTTTAGAATAATTGAAAAATACGTCTATTACATTTTATCAATAATACAACACTGTTTTGGGAATTTAATTTTTTGAAAGCTACGTTTAAAATAGAATAAAATATGTGTAAAATCCTTCAAAAAGAATTTATTCATCATTAATAGGAAAGGATAAAAATAGTTTGAAATGTCACATGTTTTTATAGTTGCCTGTAACATTTAAAACGTATTTTTATTTTTTGAGTTGAAATTTTCGTTACTGGAATAAAATTTGTTATTGTGAGTTAATTTTACCAGTACAAAAAATTTTATATCTTGTTTGCGTTTTTCTCTTTGTTAATTATCCTATCGTTTGTATTCTTTACTACCTATTAATTATTTCTATGTAATTAATTATTGTGATATTCGATCAAAACTTTAATACATTATTAAATGTATATTGTTATAAATATTCGAGATGTATCATGTAGCATTATATTGAAATATCCTTCTCTTCGTGTTTTACATTTTTTTATCGATTATTTGCCAATGGTTTTATATTTATTATTAAACAATCGTGTAACTAATTTCGATAAAATTATTAATAAGTAATGTTATATTAGTCACTTTTATATTCCATAGTACAATATTACCTATGTAATGAAAGTATAGTTTTTTTTTTTTTTTATTCGAGTTTTAATATTCATTTGATATATCTATTAAAGTTTTGAAATAGTTTTCATTTCAATATTGGATAACTCGGATATTTTTATATTTTTTAAAAAATTATTTTAAAAACTATTTATTGCTCTTCATTAGCGGGAGTACACTTTTTTTGTATCAATCAGAACATTAATCAATCAACTAATAATCACGGTAGTAAATGAAAGTTTTTTCGTTTGAATTTTGTTACTGTGCAATTTTAAACATGCATATTGATATACTAGACGAATATACATAAGTGTTGAAACTGGGAATGAATATGCATGTGTCTGTGACCTCTTTGTTGCCAATTATCGGTGTGTTTACGTTCAATTATGAACAAATTACGATGCATCGATGCAGAGAGTATGAGAGGAAGGGAAGATTGGGCTGGTGCTTTCACAAAGTGAGTGGTGAACCCATTGGCGATGCGCAGCATTGGAATCAATATCCGCGACACCCTGTGTCACGAGACCACTACATCCATAAACTATGCCACTGTCTATTCTCCTTCCTATGTAGTATATATATACGGATCTCTTGGTATACTGCTATTACAATAATTATTACTATTAGTCATTGTTGATTATTGACGGTGACAGTTAGACGAGAATCTCAAGTTGATTCAGTGGTTCCAATTTCAACCGGAATTCGTTGGTTATTTTTTTTTAGAAGCTATTCTAGTTCCCTTAATTGAATCTACGGATGAGAGAAATTTCTTGCCGAAGGTCGTGTCATTTACCCAAGTAATCGTCGGCGAAATTTCATTTAATCTACTCACCTCAGGGTAATCACCGTCCTTGGTTTGAAAGTCAAATACATAAAAATAAGTCTTGGGCATTGGTTCTTTTTCACTATCAGGAACTGGTGTGATATGAGGATTGTTTGGTTGTCTTGTATGTCGCAGAGTAAAAAGATCTCCAGTTTGTACAAGTGGTGCTACAAACTGAGCGTCACTTAACGCACGAACGCATCCGTCTCTTGTGTTTGATGGATGTTGCATTGTTCTCTCCCACTCGGTATACTCATTCACGATCTGTTGAAACAAAAGTGTGGTTTATCAACGGATGAGAATAAATCAGGGAGTATTAAAAAATATTGTTTACATTGGTTTTAACAACATTGGAGTCTTTTGTTATTTAGAGGCTATCATCATTAAATTTTTCATTGAATTTTCTAATTGAAAAATAATTTATTCGAGTTGAATCAAAAACTGTTAATGGAGCAAAGAATTTAAATGAAAACTGATTCATATATATATATTTGTTAGTTAACGAAAAAATCACCTCATGAATTTTTTTATCACAACTAGTGTAAAATGATCAGATTACAGTTTTCCATGTACACGATTATCTGACACTAAAGTGTCAAATATTGTTATAAGTTGTTTTTTACGGTTTATTTTTATTTTTTTATCCGATCCATTTGTTTTATCCATATCCAAATACACCATTTAGCGGATGTTCAGAGATAACAGTTATGCAGATATTTATGGTATCCAGAGGACTGTGAGTATCAGTCTAGCTAAATATTCGTGATACGTGATCGAGGGCATTTGCTTGTCGATATGACATTATATTTTTTGTTGTCAAAAACGTCTGTGATTAATGCTTCTAGAATAGCCCTCCAAGGATAAATACAATAAACATCTGCACATTTTATAACAGGTAAATAGCACATGTGTTTTTGTTTTATCCACATGATTCGATTGATGTTTGATGTAATTTAAAATTATTTACATACTGTATAAAATATTTCAGTTAGATGAAATGTGTAGGTATTCCTGACATAAGTTCTGATTATTCTATCTCTCCTGTCTCCTTCGAATCCAGTTTGAACATCTCTCTCGCTGAATCTCCATAGTGCTTCACTTGTTGTTACGCCAAACAATAGATCATACTTGTTGTTACTTGTAATTGGAGTTCCAGGATCGTTTCTCTTTGGGAGTTGTCTAGAAACATAAACATAAATTCTATCCAATTTTGTATACATGTAGACTCAATAAATTAACGAGATAATCATTTTTGAGAATAGTAATGGAACATCGAGTTCTTATGAATAAATTTAAACTGAAAATAAGAGAAATATAAGATATAGAAGAGTTTTTTTTTCTTACCCAGATCCTTGAAATTCTGGACCCAGATAGGAAAGTAAATCTTTGTAAAAGTCTGGCTTTATCACGACACCGTCGACACTGGGTCCAAAGGCGCTTAGAAAAGTCGGAGGTTGAACGTCCGCTGACATTAACTTTTCCAAGCTGGTATCTCGAAGGCAATCTACGATTAACTCATGCTCCTTTAGAAGATCCGCTGGTACTGTGCAATTGACTGCTTTTGCAAGTTTTACAGCGTACGTAACTGGATCTTCAACAACTGCCCAGGATGATAAAGCACTGCCGGAAAGTAGAATAGCCCTCTTAAAAAGACCTGGAAATAAAATATTTAACAGTTAGTATTTTTATTACACCAACAAATCGTTTGAGGTACTCAGAAAATTAGCTAAATGCCTGCATAAATTTTTTCCATCGTCTACATTATTTCACTAAAGATTCCCCCGATTATTTGTGTTCCTTAGGAAATTTATTTCCTCTATTCAACCACGCTTTAGTCACTTAAAGTTATCCATCGCTTATTTCTTCCAAGAGATCGTTTGGAATCTTTTCATGTATTTACTACACTAGTGTACTCCTTATTTTCTTATTTATCTTCCATACAGTGCATTAGTAAAACAATATTATCAATGAGCTAGTTTTATTCAATAAGTTTTTCGAAAGAGTAGTGCAACTACTCGAGAACTTGAAAACTCATTTCAAATTGATGATGCAGAGAATGATTTATTTACCTCAAGTAGTTCACAAATTCATTATTATGATTGGAGTTTACATCAAGTTCACTTTAAAAATTCTTTCGTTACTCTTTCTTCTGCTCTTTCGACTTGTGCTACATTATCTCCACAAATTTTCAAGACTCAAATAGTAACAGAAACTTTCATTGGTACTTAATGAATAATAGTAACTTTACTTTACAATTAAATCATATTTACTGAAATTCAATTTTACAAAATTTACTTGGTAAATAGTTATCAGTATTTTATCTAAATTTGAATTTTACATAAATATATTTTTAAATTGTTATTTGTAGATTCGACTAATAATTCATTCATTTACTTAAATAAAATTTTTATTTATTTAAAAATTAATTAAATTAGTTGGAAGAAATATTTATTTAGTGAAATGCATCAACTGCCACATCTAAAAACTCCATTGTGTTTTGTGGAGAAATGACGTGGTTGTTTTCTCAGTGTAAAATCCGTTGAAAATTCTCAACAATTTCTGGGATGCCATACCTATCCGGCTGCCGGAATTCATCCTAATTAGGGAATGTTAGAACAACCACAAGACGACTTTCCCACTCGTCTTCTGAAGTTTACAAGAGGCCAACTGCTTACAAAACGCATGCTCAGACAAGCTTTACTATTTCTCTAGAGCTTGGTATGTTGAATACATTTCTGTAGGATTTACATTCTAGCTCTATTCAAATTTTTTTTCATTAGTAAACAATTTAACGTGAATCATTTTTTCTAAATTACAAATAATCTATTAAAGTAGAAACATACTAGAGAAAATTTTATGTTATTGATACAAGTATGCGTTTAAATTTTACATACAAGTATCATTTTTATTTCATTCTTGTCTATATCAGTATCGAAAAAGAAAATTGGAATATCTCTATCGAAACATGTGGATATCAGAACCTGGATGAAGATCGTTTCCTACTGATTTTGGCTAAGATCCAAGAATACAGGGGTAACCGATAAGACACTGTAAGATCATGGAAATAAATCCTAGAGCGTATGCATGATCACATGGACGTTACAGAAAATAATTTTTTTATAGGTTTAAAAAAAAGTCATTCTTTATCGATTCTCGTTGATATTCACCAAGTTAATGTATTATTAAATGTGTGCAATGAGTAGCTGCTTATTGATTAAAACCAGAATGACAATATATATTTTCATAAAGATAAGTAAAAAACTCTTGAAGAAAAAATTAACTACCTAATATTGAATCTAGATTGACATAATAATCCAAAGGTCTGGAGGTTGGCACGTGTCCAGAGCACGCGTGTCTATGCTGACATGAAAGAAAGTATTTTCCGATAGGGTTCGTAATGGCAGAGTGCAGTGAAATCGAGTAAGGATGAAAAGACATGTTCATCTTTGATGTGGTGAAGCGTGTATAAAATACAGGAACATTAAGGAAACACGTTGCATAGAAGCATGAGAGCAGAAACACTCACGCACATAATATCTCGATAGACGTGAGAAGATACGTGATATGAACATCTTAGATAACATGATCGCGAGTTGCTATACTTGTGCAACTATTAACTACATATGGATTACATGCTACGGTCAATATCAAGATGGTGGTAAGTGGAGTGATAATGCCAAGTTTAAAGATATAAAAGTAGATATCTAATATCTTCAGCAATGTGTTACCAAAACTCAAATAAAACTCTTGACGGTCTTGTTCCCTTTCGCCAAAGACGCGACCGCCTGTAGCACATGTTTCCTTGGAATATTACGAATTTTAGTCGATTTCTGGATGGCTTGAACGGAGGATCCTTAGTCACTCGACATGAAAGAGCATGGAAATAGACTGAAAAGCAGAGGAGAGTTAATCTAACGTATAATCCGGTGTCTTCTATACACAGGATCCTGAAAGTTGCTGTGAATGTAGTTTCTAGTTGAATATGAAGCGAAAAGGGTGAAAAGGAAGCAAGAGAAGGGGTACATTTGCAAGCAACATAGTCGCACGTGTTAATTTCAAAACTCAAGCAAGAATCAAGCCACTTGAGAGCAATTGTGGAAATTTCATATTCGTACCTCTGTCATCCTCAAAATGCTTCTTTTAATTTATTTGAGGATTAATATATAGATTATAAGCTTACCAGGAATTACAGTGGGGCTGATGGCGAGAAAATTGACACACGCAGCTCCAGTACCGTGACCCATAAGCGTTACGTTGCCAGGATCACCGCCAAAGAGGGCAATGTTCTCTTGGACCCAGTGGAGCGCAGCTAGCTGATCCATAAGACCGTAATTTGCTACTCGTGCTTTAGTGTGTGGTGAAATGTTGGCATTGAGAAAACCCAGAACACCAAGCCGGTAGTTGATCGTTACGACTACTTGGTCAGTATAGCTTGCAAGGACGCTACCGTCGTATGGATTTCCGCTTCCCCAATCGTAGCTCTCACCGTGGATATACAGAAGCACCGGATGTCTCTTGCCACCGTCCGATGCTCCTAAAACAAGAAACAAAATCTTCAAACGGGTGTGTCATTCTATTGTTGTACTGTACGATCTACCTTTATTGATATCACAACATGTTATCGATCGCTTTCCGTTTATCGTAAAGATAGAAAAGTAGGAAACAAACACGAGAATGAAATATAAAAGAGAATGATGAAAAATTTATGATATTTTTTATATTTATTACTTATTTTGCTATTTATGGGGTGTAGTTTACACAAAAGAAGGCCATTCTTTATTGAGAAAGATACAACCGTTCCAATAAATTTTTTCTTGATCAAAACAATTTTAAATTCTGAAATTTGATAAATATTTATTTATGCTAAGCAGATAAAAAATTTTGAAATTGATTAAAATATCTCATTTTCTTTATGAATGGATTTTATTTTTAAATTTGTAGCAAAAAAGTATCTTTGCAGTAGATAATTATTATAAAAGCAGTCGGTGAATTTAGAATTATAAACTATAACATAGCGTAAATAAATGAATTGAAAATTCACAAAAGTCAACAAAAACAATGTATCCAACTTTCAAAAGTTTCTTATTAATTATTTTTCTTTGACTTTTAGCTTGTTTGTTTCGTCTGAATTTTTATTTTATTTTTATTAAGTTATTATTATAAATACTAACGGTAGCGATATTCATAACTAAGATAAAAAAATTTCATTTCAACATGATATATTTTTTCATTCCAGTTATTTATCATTTCAAATAAAACTTGGAGTATTTGCATCCAAAACAATTCAGAAATAATATTTGTATAGATATTGAAATATTTCATCCAAATAATAAATACTTGAAACAAAAAAATATTCCACATGAAAACAAAATTTCTTTCTCAATTATGTTATTGAAAAATTGATTGAATTTATCTATTGGGTATATAGTAATTAACGGTGCGAAAAGTAAAAGCAAAGTTTCACTTTCATTGGTATTCAATCAATATTGGTAGGCTAGTGAGTAGTCGTTGCCACGACTCTAGGTTTTTCAACCCCTATTGGCATCGTTAGATATAAAGTGAACGCTTGAAGCGGATGGGAGAATATATACAAGAGTGAAAGCAGCTGAACGCAGAGACCTTTATCGAAACAAAGGGCTTATGTTGACCGTACGTCTAGCCCTATAGAAACCTTACTGTTGCCTAAGGAGAAGCTAAAGTGGTTTTAGTTTGTCAAAGACTATCTATTTCCTTCTTTCTTGCTGCTGAATAGCGTGGAACGAAAAAAATTGGAGCAGAAAATAACGGAAATATTGAGGGATTGAATCAATATTTTAGTTTTGCTTAAGAAAGATTTGTGTAAACAAACATACTTTGTTATCATTCAGTTTATAACGATGGGTAATCAATAAAGTAATAGTTCATAAATGATAAAGCAACGGCAACAATGATGATGATGATGACAATGATGATTTGAAGGTAAATAACTAGAATGAAAGCTGAGAAAACATCAATTAGAAGCAACACTAGATATCTCTTGAACGTGATGAAACTGATAAAACAATGGTGACAGACGAAATGTGAGCTTGATTAATGATAACATGTTTGAAAAAAGTAAGCGAGGACGAGGAAGAAAAAAAGCAATGATGCACCTCGTTGGTTCTCGGCGGGTTGGGGTTATGAAATCTTGTGATGGATGGGTAAAACGGTTAATCGATCAATGTTCTTCATGTTCATCCAATTTATAGTGGAAAACATTTGTACTCGAATTAACTATATGTGTCAACGTGATTATGATGCTGGTAATGTGAGTGCCACCAGTAATGTAAGATAACAGTGAAATGAAAACTGGCATTATTGAAATCTGACACGAATAGCATTACATTAACTGCCGAGTTGGTCATTAAAATGATAGTTTAACCTGTGTTTGTTGGTAAGAATGTAAACATGTGATATAATAGAATGGTATGAATGAATTTGTTAAATAATGAACAATGTTTAGTCTTTTCCATTTATGAGATGTAATTAATAATATTGTATTGATAATATTATCAATTCAAGTCTTGCACAAACTAATTAATGATAGATAATTGAATTACTGAAACAATTGTAATTAGTACACAATTTAGATATTATCTTGATAAATAGAATAATATATGATATTGATTCGGTAATAAAAGATGGTTTTCCAATAAATTCGGTGGTAAAAGTTAAAAGCTTAGTGGCAACTCACAGAATGCCCAGATAGAATATTTTAAAGTCTTGATAAAAAAGTTAGAGAGAAGAAAGCACCACAAGTTCTTTCCACCCTTGCAACTTTACGTTCGTGAGTAATTCGAGCAAAAATAGCACATCTTTACAGCTTTCCCTCTCAGTAGCCAGCGAGTTTACGGTGACTCATCTTTTGCGTGGAAAGTTTTACCTTCAAAGCATTATTTCGTCATTTTTAACTATACGGACGCGTGAAAAAAAGAAAAGTGCAGAATAAGAGAAGAAAAGTTAGATGAAGCGAATGTTTATGCTTTTCTCCTCGGGCTTTATTCCTCTTTCTTGCTTTTTGAACTCATATATTTTTTTTTTTGTAGTTCATTGGACTACCTTGATATTTTGTTGAATCAGACCTACTCTTGTATATAAGGAGACGTCTCGTAGCCGTGATACTATCTTAAAAAAGAGAGAAGGATAGAACTTGAGGCCATTTTATGATTCAATGTCAGACTTTTTGTGCTTTATCTATGTTTATTTTCAAGATCAAGCAAGGAACAAAAAACTGGGTATTAGAGATTAACGTAAAGTCATTATTATAATGTCTGTTTCTTTCAATTTGATCTACAAATTAATATTGGAATTTTTAAAATCAATTTTTACAGTGTTACAACAAGTTGGTAACTGTGCTTACATATGTATACATGATTTACCTAGTGTATGTTGGTGAAGTGAACAGCATGCACATAAATAAAGCATGTACGAGCTTTATCCTGGTTATATGGATCACGTGCAAATATGTGATTCGCGGATTTTGCACATACAAGGGAGTGTGCATGGAGTAGTCGAAAATGTGTATAGAAGCTTGAGTAATACTTTAATCCTTGAACAATGCAGAACTCTACTTTTGCTCATCAAAAGTACGCCTATGTATGAGTCCGCAAAGTGGTTGTGCAACTATATAAATACATGCTTCACATCTATTTGTATATTACATTGTACTTGGATATTGTATAATATTCCTGATCCTAAAAGTTAACTAACAAAGTAACTTGAGAAGATTATTATAAATAATTATAATGAGTTAAAAAGAAGAAAATTGATAATTGAAAAGATTTTTTGTACTAAAGTAGTAAAAAGTGATGTGATGTCTAAGTTTATTACCAACTAAATGTCGATGAGGCAAATAAAATGGTTCACGTTAAAATTGTTATGAGATTCAGCAGTTTAGTTTAGTTATTGGTTGTCTCTTTATGCGTCTCTATGTCTTCTAGTGTCATTAAAAGCAACGGCAAGATAATTTAAATGAGAATTGCTGATGTCGTTACTCTTGATAGCGTATCTTTTGTACTTACGAGCACATGAAGATGAACTTAAACTTTTTTCTTTTAGTCGATTGAATTGGAGATTTCCTACAAGTCGGATTTAATATTGATTTCTACCACTGGCTGACGCAATTTTGAACCCGATTAAATCCAATCGACGTGATGCTGCACGCGCGAATAATCGATGTGCGAGAGGTAAAAGCATGGATGCTTTTCGAGAACGACGCCAAGTGCATATGCACGAAAGCTTTTGCGTTCTCTGCCACTGAAATATCCATACCAAATCCTGAAGACGTATTGATTCGTTGAAGGTGCTGCTGCATAATGCAGCTCTTGCATGTACGATTCGCTACGAGATCGTAAAACGAAACGCATCAATAAGTATACCAATGCACATCCGCACTGAGTAATGAACTGACTAGTTGAAAGTAAAAAAATGATCATTTCCATAAAGTCACGTATTTATTTACAATTATTATACTGTTCATTTTATCTTGATTTATTTGTTTCTCTTTATACTTGAAGAAAATTTACCGAGAGAAAAGATCCTCAAATTTTTCCTTTCCTCGTGAATTTCTAGAATTTTTTTTATTGCTTCTGAATATACATAGAGGTTTGCTATGCGTATTTTATGGAGATAAAGTGTGGATTTGTGTGGAAACTCTATTTGGATGAAGATCTCTAGAGTTTAACTGTATTGAAATACGATCCAAGCCCCTTATATGTGAAGGTTTATGTATATAGAGGCAAAAAGTTAGATGGTAAATTGCGGTACGATCCTGATTTTGACACAAGTAGATACTCAAATATTATTTGTACATGTAATGTTAACAATTGACAACCAAATGAATCTACCAACTAATGGTAAATTAATTAATTTATTCCTGTACTAAAAAGAGTAATATTCATAATGAAACAAAATATCTAAATACTTCAAAAGCATGTATCTCTTATTATTAAATCGAAAGATGAAGTCTAATTTCCAAGTTTGATAGTGAAATATAAATTTAGTTTGTGGTCAAAATGACTTGAATAAGATTCACTCATTTCTACCACGAAGTATAGCAATATAATTTAGTATATTTCAAATATAAAGTTTCTTAGTATTAGCATAGTAAACATAGATTTACATTACTTTCACCATACTCATTTGAAACGGTAAGGGTTTAAGTATTTATTCACTGAGAAGTAGTCAAACAAAATATACATTTACTCGGCTCTGATACTACTTATTAGTTCTGTTAGACTTCTTAGAATGTCTAATTTCAAATAGTATAAACAGATTTCAAGCTTTTGCCTACAAGAATAAATACACAAAACAAAGATTTATTTTTACTCTTCATTAATTATGCTTTAAACATTTATCTACAACTTTATCATTCATTTATAGGGTTTCTATTGTTAATTTTATCAAAGTAATGTCATTAATATGATAATCTAAAATTTTTGTCAGAATAATTTTGTATGTTATCGTAAATTATTACACATTTGTCAAGTTTGAATTTCATCTATTGGTTGAATAAAA